TAGAGTGCGGACAGGACAAGATCTCTTACTCGATTTTGCTGGATCCTGTCCCGAAATCCATGTTTTAAGCGAATAATGGAACTATCGAGATTGTGGGATTTACGAAATTAATGCCTTGGCATCCTGTCCCATTCGATCATTTGAAAGAAATTTCATTGAAATTTCTTGAAATTTCACTTAATTGAAGTGAAATATGATGCTAATAGATTTTTTAGAAGGTTATAAAATGAGGTAAATACTAATCAGGGTTGCCGCCCGAAACCCGGCATTTTTTGTACCCAAAACTAGAGTTGGAAAAGACGAGACCGATACCGAGATTCTCGGCTTTTTTCCAATATTGGTCTCGGTTTTTTTATTCTCGTTCTCGAAACCGATACCGAGATTCTCGGTCCATTTCTCGGCGAGAAACGATACTGACTAAAAGAAACAAAATTCTCATTATTGTCCAAAGTAATTTGGCTAAAATAAAAATTTCTGTTAGTCTCGGTCAGTATCGTTTCTCTGTATCGGTCTCGCTCAAAATGATGGTATGGGTCTCGGTATATGTTCCTAAGTATCGGTCAATCTCGGTCTCGGGTTGGCCGATACCAGTATCATTTTTCCAACTCTACCCAAAACCCTATATCCGAAAAGAAAATTTTCCAACTCGGAACCCGTACCCGATGCTTTTTTGTACCCGCGGCAACACTGATACTAAACAAAACATTATAAAGTCAATTTTCTCAATAATACTAGTCAACTTAGTGATTGCGACGATGTTGTTTTTTAACTTTATGTTTTTTAACTCCGCTCTGGCGTAAATCTAAAGCATTGTGTTCGTAGTTGACATTGTGATTTGAGTAAATTGGAAGAGCATTATGCATATTTTGGAGATTATATAATTCATTGCCCTCAATCCCGTAGTCAATATGATCGTGATCACTACTTCCAAAGGTATTATGACTACTTCCAGCTTCATGATTGTGATAACTACTTTCTCCAGTATAATAAGCCTGAAAGTTTAAGTATAATTTTGTTTAAACTGATCTGCGAAATTAATTCTATCATGTTTTTGAAAGGATGCTTCGCCTAGAGCATTTAAAACGCTTAGGCGGGGGTTATACGATCTAAAATGTGGACTTGAAGATAAAGTGAATGTGGACTTGAAGATAAAGTTGATTTTGCTGGTATCCATAGACATCCACCACATAAAAATAACAAAAGCAGTAAACCGCATATTCTAAAAATACCCTTTACTGATACAAAATCTCGTGATACTTTTTTATACTCATTTCGTAAATGTGTCAAATCTCTTCCTAATGTTCCTAAAAATATAACAGCCAGACGCGATATGACCCAATATGAATTAAATATTCTTTATAACCTTCGTAAACAAGCTTATGACCTTAATGTTCGTGAAAACTTATTTAAATACTTTGTTGTTGATTTAGAAATTCGTAAAATGTCACAACCAAAACCTCTTAAGGTAAAAAATGTTTCCGCATAGGGTAATTCGAGTAACCATACTGGTAATTTAAAAACAACTTTAAACTCTAATATATTATCCTGTTTGGCTTTTAATGCACGATCTATAAATAATAAAACCTTCGAACTCCAGGAACTCTTGGAAAATAACAAAAATAAAATAATACTAATAAACGAAACCTGGCTTAAAGAAAATAACATTATACATTCAGAATTTTCACTTAAAGGACAGTTTAACCCAATATTTGCTAACAGAAAACAAGGTCTTGGGGGCGGCTGCCTAATACTCATTCCCTCCGAAATTCCATACAAATTAAAATTTACAGGCACAAAATTTAAATGCGAAATTATACATTTAAAATTACTTATACAAAGGGGTATTGAAATTTTTTGTGTATACCGACCACCAAAATGTTCATATGATGAAACCAAGAAACTAATGAAATATATCTCATCTAAATTAAATTCTAATGCTTTAATCTATGGGGATTTTAACATTCCTAAAATTAACTGGGATACTATGGATTCAAATAATGATCTAGGACAGTTACTTATTGATTTCTGTTCTCAAAATGAAGTTTACCAACATATAAAAGAAAATACAAGAGATAATTCAATACTCGATTTACTTTTCACAAATCCTAAAAATCTTATTGAAAACTATAATATTTCTGCTCCTTTCTCAACATCTGATCATAATATGATCTCATTCATTTTAAACGTTAAATTCCATAGAGAATCCAAAAGTAAAAAATATATAAGAAGTTTTAGCCATAAAAACACAGAAAATCTTAGAAAATACATATCATCTATAAATTGGAAATACTTACTCGAGACAAAATTCACCACTAATGATAAGTATAATAACATAACACAAAATTTAGTATCTGCCCTTAATAACGCTATCCCTTTACAAACATTAAATTTAATTATTAGGAACAGTTATCCTAAAAAGATTAAAAATTTACAAGCAAGAAAACTTGCTATACATCAAAACTTAAGAACAAATCCTAAAAATAATAATTTAAAACTTCAATATCGATTTATCTCTAAAGAACTCAAAAAGAATATAGAATCATATAACGAAGAAAAGATAAGTAAAACGATAAATAAAGTAGGTAATGCCATTCATAAATTTATTCGGCAAAAATTCAATCCAAATGACAAAATACCAAATTTAATAAGTGAAGATAACAAATTACATATAAATATAAAAGATAAATGTAAATTACTTGCTAACACATTTAGTAAGTATTTCCAACTCAAAGAATTTGACAAAAACTTTACACCTAGACAAACTACAAGAGAACGTCTAGAAGATATTGAATTCGATATTCTCACAGTTGAAAATATCCTAGAAAATCTTCCAAATAAAATCTCTAATTCACCTGATGATATTCCTTATATATTATTGAAATCATGTTCGAAAATACTTTCTCCGACCATAACAGAAATATTCAGAATCATATTAGATAATAGGACAATCCCAGAAATCTGGAGACAATCCTACATCATTCCTATATTTAAAAAGGGTGAAATAAATGACCCTGCTAATTATAGACCTATTTCTGTTACATGCACACTTTGCCGCGTATTCGAAAGAATTATCTCAACACAAATCATAAATTTTCTAAATAAAACTAAATTCTTCTCTGATGAACAATTTGGGTTCTTACAATATAGATCAACTACAACAAATCTTTTATCAATGTTAAATGATTTTTATAAGTCATTGGAAAAAAGAGAAAATATCGATATTATTTACATTGATTTTGCTAAAGCATTTGACTCTGTTCCTATTGAGCTCTTATGCCTCAAAATAAAAGCTTGTGGAATTAATGGAAAATTATATGATTTCATAGAAAACTTTCTAACAAAAAGAAGTTTTAAAGTTAAAATAGAAAAAGAATTCTCTGAAAGCGTACAAACAAAATCAGGCGTACCACAAGGAAGTGTATTAGGTCCTTTATTATTTCTTATCTTCATAAATGACCTTCCAAACTATCTTCCTCATGATTTAAAAATTAAAATATATGCAGATGATGTAAAATTATATACATATCATCAAAATGACAATAGACGGGAAATACTAAAAGAATCACTAATATTACTTAATAAGTGGGCTAAAATTAACGGTTTAGAAATCGCAGAAAATAAATGCTCTGTACTCTACATTGGAAAAAATAACACACAAGAAAAATACCATATATCTGGCAACCTAATTCCTAAACTACAAACAGTTAGAGATTTGGGTATCCTAATAGATTCCAAACTTTCATTTTCCGATCATATTAATGTAATTATCAAAAGAGCTTACTTTAGTATATATAGGCTTTTTAAAGTTATAAGAACTAGAAAACTAGAACAATACATTAATATCTACAAAACATATATTCGACCCCAACTAGAATATGCAAGTGAAGTATGGAATCCTATGAAAAAAGATAATTGCGAAAGGATTGAAAAAATTCAAAAATACTTTACAAGAATTGCATTTAAAAAATCTGGATTTATTAAAATAAAATATGAAGAAAGATTAAAAATATGTAACTTAGAGAAATTAGACATACGAAGACAAATTAATGATCTTTGTATGACTCAAAAAATCCTGTATCAGAATACACACTTAAAACCTGAAAACTTCTTCGCATTTGCAAAAAAAGCAAAGAGAAAACCCCTTCTCCTTCAAAACCAAAGATACAATTCGAAATCCAGAAATAACTTTTTTATAAGAAATATAACAAACTGGAATAAACTACCTAATGAAATTATGGGTATAATGCATAAAAAGCCATTCAGGAAATATATTAGAAAATGGATATCAGATAACGGAAACATTTTTCCTTAAGTTTTAATCTATTTATTAAATGTTTGGTGAGGTAAAACAAATTTTTTTTTAACAAAATGTATACCAAAACAATTATTTCACCAAACACACCAAATACATAATTCTCATTAAATTAATTTTTTACATATATTTGTCTTTTTTTTTACATATATTTGTCCTTTTTACATATATTTGTCTTTTAAATTTCACCACTATTAGTGTATTTTTATACCGTGTGGTTGCTCATAAATAAATAAATAAATAAATAAATAAATAAAAGGATAAAAGAGAAAGCATTAGTCGTCGCCCCGGTAGCTCAGGGGCAGCACCTGCATAGGTGTGAGCAAGGCCGAGGAGCACTGTCAGAGCGTCGCAGGTTCGAATCGTGCCGTTGGCTAAGCTTCTGCAAAACTCTTTCTCTTTGAAGATATGTACGGGCATAAATTAAGAAGATATTTACAGGCGCAAAGCATAAAATAGGATTGTTATCTGCGGGAATTGGTTGGATGGGTACAACAAACAAAAACTGTGGAGGGGAAATTGCTTCACCTTTGAATTAATATTGCTGATGCAAGTTACTTACTTTGTTATCGCCATAATCACTATTATGATCTGGTGAATTAAAGCTTGACTGATTTTCCTCTGTTTCAGATCCATCCGAATTGGAAAATGGAGTCGGTGCTTCTACATCTTCCTAGAAATACGAAAATTAATTATTTGTTAATTTATTTACCTCTTCACGTTTCTGCGGATGATTGGGTCTATGTTCAAAAAAATTCTTTGATGCTCCATCCCTATGTGGTACAAATTTGCGAATATTTTTAGGATCCTCTTGAATAAACTTAAAAAATAAAAGACTACTAAACAAGATTCTTTAAGTTTGCGGATTAAAAGACAAAAATTTTTATCAAAATTTACAACTCCATGTTGCATGCCAAAGTTATAGTCAATGAAATTTTGACCATCCGCCGTGATGTGTATTCTATCATCTAGTGGAATATCGTCATTGACTACCGCTCCTCTATCACCTCTATGATTTGTATTAGGGCTCTTTAAGTTTGTGAATTAACAGACAGAAATTTTATAGAAATTTACATTTCCATGTTGAATGTCAAAGTTATAATCAATGAAATCTTCATCATCCTCAGTGATGTGTATTTGATCAGGTAATGGAATATTGCCTATGACCGCTGCTCCCGTATTCGCCGTATCCGTATTAGGGGCAGGTTCATTTGAGGCTGTTGGCGTAACCGACTAAAAAATAAAAGCAATTTTTATATTAGAGAATTTAAGCGGATATGAACAGTTAATTAACTGCAGCAGCTGGGATATAGCTATTTCTCTCCTTTAGCTAGTGCAAAAGGTTATTCGGCGGCTGGGAGCGAACCAGCATCTTAAGTATGCCGAAATGATGTGTTAGCCATTACACCACGCCGCCTACTTCATAGCCTTAGGAATTAAATAGCTATATGCTTTAAATTGATAAACTTACGCTTCTTCGTCTTGGATTTCTCGACCCGAATAATGGCATTCCATCAACCCAAGATTTCAAGAAGAGTATCAAAAATAAACAATAAAATAGTAACTTTAAATTAGTTGAATCTAATATCTTCATATTATCTTTATTTTTTCAATTCCGACTTAAATTTTAATTTTTAAATTTAAAAATTTTAATTTTTTAAAGAAAAATAATTTTAAAATAAATAAAAGCAATAGCCACTTATAAAAAAATTTGCTATTTAGCGAGGAAAAATCTGGCAATCGACTTGAAAAATCAATTTTTCGGGGGATATATGTATAGCCACAAATAGTAAACAGAATTGATCGATTGTAAATATAAAATATAGCAAAAATTTATAAAAAACAATTTTTTGTTTTGGCCATGTTTTTATAAAAACATCAACTAGCTGTGGGTAAAGTTAAGATAAGACAATATTTCAGGGGTGTATCAAACATAAACAAAGAATAATGGAATATGCCATTGATGGAATATTGCCATTTACTTTACTTTGCGTTTGAGGCACTGGAGCGTTGAGGCACTGAGGCACGACGGCATTGGGCTTTGTGCTGCTGGAATTTATTTGCTTCTTTAAAAGTTTTGATGGATTCACGACGGGCCTTTTTTTTTGCCAAACTCGAGAGACATTTAGCAACGACTTGCGATGATAACATAAACATGAAAGCTAATCGAACAACGTTTTATACAGCTTCATTTATTTGTTGATTGTTCTAAGACAATTAGGTGGTATATCCAACACTATTTCATTTTTAAATTTAAATTGTTTCTCGAATTAATCTGTTTCAACAAATTCATAACTAACATTTTCTACTTATAGCTGATATTTCTTTCGAAGCTTAAAATTCCTAAGATCGTAAAATTCCTAAAGTTCAATCGAGGATTCATTATTTTATTTCATCTCAAAACATATTGTCAGCTTTTGATATCATCATTAAGTGATGAGATGGGATTTTTATTAATTTTAGACATGAGTGAACTTTGACTAAACTACATTTTTTGACTAAACTAAAAAACCATTTCGACTTGTAAATCCTGTCGAGTTATTGAGAAATTCCTTCAGTAAAACAGCTGGGTTATAGCTATTTCTATCTTTCAGCTAGTGCAAAAGGTTATTCAGCGGCTGGGAGCGAACAAGCATCTTCAGAAGACCGGACTGATGTGTCTGCCATTACAACACGTCGCCTATAGCACAGCCTTAGGAGATAAATAGTTATATGCTTTACACTTAGAATATTTTTTAAGACCTATCTAAGATAAGTTTATCATACGTTAAATCGGCTAAAATAATATAAGCTAGCTTTACATAATGATGTTTTACAAGAAAAAAATTATAATAGGTAAATATTGGATTTCTCGATTAATTCCCGTCCGGATTAATATTTCAAACCATCTTAACTCAACCCATATAAAAATTAAGAAATTGCCTAAAGTTTTGGTATGATATGGGGCTTGGGAATTACTTGGTATCGAGGATTATCGCTCAACTCATCCGAGACATGGGGAATTAATCGAGAAACCACAGTAACGCAAAGTTAGTAATAAAAAGACAGAAAATAGGTACATATTAAAATCAACTAACAAACAAACAAAAAAATTCAAAAACAGGCTCGTAAATCTAATAAATGTTTCAGGAACAATTTAGAAAAAAATTTTAAAAAAATTTGTAAAAATTTACCCAAATAGGAATAATCCTCCCGAAATAATGAGTATATAAAAGTGTGAATATAAATCTTTTACAGTCGAACCTCAATTATATATTTTATTTATTTATCAACATAAAAAATGTCATCGAAAGGGCGTGCCACTATATTTAAAATTCGGTTGAATTTTGGAATAAGTAGAGATCCCCACGGGATTTTATGGAATCCCGATCCGTAAATCCCGGATTTTTTTTAATTTCGGGATCCGTGATTTTTTCGGGATGTATCCCTCGGGATCCCGTCCCGGCGTCAATTAAGAAAATAAATCCCGACTCGGTATCCCGGAAGTTCTCTTTTGCCGGTCTTTAGTTAGAAGTTCTCTAGTTAGTTAGAAGATCTCTATTTAGTGCCGGCTTCTAGTTAGTTACATCTGTATGAGATACATTCGTATAAGATACATTTTCCCCAATAAGGATACACTCGATTTAAAATTATTTTCAGCCCAAGTTAAATCGACAATTGAGGTTCAACTGCATAATTAGCAAAGTTCTCAGCAACTGTTGTTTCTTATGATTTTGGGTTCGTTATCTCTACGTGTTTTTGTATTCTTCGCCAAAATAAGTTTCAAAAGATCTTCTTCAGATGGAGAAACTTTTGGATTTATCTTGCGAAGACGATTTGGAAATGTGACTGGTTCAGTTTTGGCAGAAGCTATCTTCACCTTTTTTGTTATCTTCTCATTTTTCATGATTTTTCTTTTGCTTTTATCTTTGTTTTGATGTTCTTCTTTTTTGTTATTGATAGTTTTGGGCTTAAAGTATTTCAATATATTATAAAATATAAAAATCCTCGGGTTTTCCGACTTCGACCTTCACATTTGTGACCGATTTCTGAGGGCGTAATTATAAGATGATGGTTAGGTGAACATGGTCTTTCTTTTCGTCCATTTCTCCCTTCTTATAAAATTATGGGGGAAATGTTGGGCGCTGGTAGTTCACCTAATCAGCAACCACGTTCTTATACTACAGCCCCTGGGTAGATGGTAGCTTCTGGGCTCATTCCATGATGGTTCTTTCACTCCCTATCCAAGGAATTTTGAGCATAAAAAGTAATAATAATTGAACGAACCTTTTTATCTTTGAAGATATGTTTAGGTGAATACAAAACACTAGATGGACTCTTTTCGATAGTTTCTTCTTCGCTGGTTGAAATGCTTCCATCTCCATTTTTTATGCTTGGTAGACTGATTTCATCATCAGAAGAGTAGGGCTGCGGAGGTTCTTCCACTTCTTCTTTTATCTAGAATTTTGTAAAGAATTGAAGAAAACACAATGTTTATGACTTAGATTATGATAGATTTTTAGACCCCAGACCCAGTTTTCTACAATTTTTCGATGTGCCTGTCCTTCGGAGCCTTTTGAAAATTCCAAATTTTTAAAAATATTTTACCTCTTTTTTATATAGTGATGGATAATTACTTTTTTGCTCTTCAAGAAATTTCGCTTGCTTATCAAGTGTAGTGTTTTCTTTTTCCACCTGAATTTGTCCTGAAGTTGACTCGTTAACAGTTGAAACTGGTGATGAATTTACATTCTGAATTGTGATATATTATTACATTCTTATTTGTTAGTGTAATTATGTATTTGTTTTATAAATAATGTAATTATATTTATTGTGTAAATAAAAATTAATTCAGGTAGGATGCCTGTGTAAATATACAAAATCCATTCTCAGCCAATTTTACATTGACTAGTATTACCGAAAATATTTTTTTGTAAGCAGAATAATATTCGTAAACCCACGAAAAGGCTATAGCATTACTAAATTTTAAACCACTCTATCCCAAATTTATTAATTATTTAACTACCATATCATCTGGAGTTTGAACACCATCGGAATGTTGATCCATATGAAATTCATGCGCTGGTGAAGGCGGTGGTGCAAGCAGTGGAGGTGGAGCAATGACTACTGCATGGTCTTGGAGGTTGATAGCTTCTCTCTCATTTACTCGCCTTCTACGAGGTTCAAATGCCGCATCATTTAGAGATAATGATCTGGTGTTGACAGGTGCTCCTGCAACATTCTCTGGATGGACAGACTAAATATCAATTAAAGATGTCTTTTTAGGATTTGGTTGACCACTACATAGGGGGGGCTTATAGAGGTATTTAAAGACCCATTATTGTGTAATGATGATTCCCCTAGCAGCATTTAACGCTTAGGCGGGGGTTAAACGATCTAAAAAGGAAAAAGAGAAAGCATTAGTCGATGCCCCGGTAGCTCAGAGGTAGAGCTCCTGCATATAGTGAGCGGAAGCGCCTAGCAATAATTAGCAGGTGGTCGCAGGTTAGCCATCCTGCCCGGTGGCTAAACTTTTGCTAACTCTTTCTATTGTTAACTACGATATTATATAGCCACAGAGTAGGGGTAAAACTGAGGTTAGAATGCAAAAAGTGCCCTGAGTAACTTTAAAAATTTACATGCTGTCTTCTGAATTCTCTTGATGATTGACCTCCGAGTCCGCAAAATTTTGGACGTGCTTCAACAATTGATCTTGACACAATAAGAACACTTACCAACATAATAACAAAAGAAAAATAATTTTTTGGATAAATAAGCTTCATCATTTAGTGAGAATTTTTCTAAAATATAGTAATATACATGATTATTCTCAGTCATATTAAGGTGTTGGTGCCAGCCAGATTCAGGATCAGCCGAGAACTTAACAAGCTTAGAGCAAATAAAAAGAAGGATGGGATTTGTCACCAGAATATTATAAGGTAATTTCTGATTTGTTTACTATGTATATTGTAGCTAGGTATTCTAAAAAGTGTAGAAAAGAACTGGATTATAGCTATTTTTACTTCAGAGCCCGTATCATAGGAGCATGTTGTTAAAAAAGTATCATAACAACTTGGTCATTTAACCAGGTCATTTAACCCCTACCCAGAGGTATTTTCGTATCATAAGAGCGTCTGGTATTTTTCTTATTGTAATCGTTTCTTATGATGTAAATTTTACCGCCCGGTAATTCCGATCCATTACACCGCCCCTTGCATAGCCTTAGGAATTAACTAGCTTATAGCGAATCGCCAAAATAATCCGTCTACTTAAAAGTTCTTAGAAACTAACGGGAAATTTAAACATTTAATTAAGTAATTATAGCAAAATTTACAAGTTTTCAATAGATTTTAATTAAAAAATGTTTTAATAAATTTTAATTATTTCAAAATCGACTGGCAAAAATAAAAAATAATAAATAAAAGCAAGAGTGGAGATTTAAAAAAGGGCAAAAAATTGAGTAAATCAATTTTTTCTTTGAATAATGCGACACTCGAGATGCACTTTACATGCATGACTCTCTATAATTTTCAAAAATATATTTCGAAAGGCTATAATAAAAAGATAAAAGGGCGATGCGCTTTTAGCAAGTCAAACGCCCTGACGCCGCAGACATCAAGGCTGTTTTTAATTCAGATGTTTAATTAATAAAATAGTTTGGGGGTTCGGGCAGTTCATGAATAGAAATTGATAAACTCCCAAGTTGCTAGAATTTTAGGGGATTTTTTAACAAAGGTAATTAAAAGAGTATATACGGTACATGAATTCCGTAAAGGTACAGCTTAGCTGATTCAGAGGTCTTAGAAGCAGGGGTTTTAAAATAAGAGTAAAAGCCGAGGCAAACCTTTTTAAGGGATAGTAGGCATTTTTAATTGAGCTGAAGATGAAACTCTGAATTAACCTATCAAATAATGGAAGATAAAAAATTCCGAAAACGCAAAGCAATCCTTATCAGAATCCGAAGTCTCAAAAGGTGATTTTCTTAGGAAAAATTTGCATTAAAAGCTAAGGAAATCGTTTTCAAGGGATAGTAGGCATTTTTAATTAATCTGAGGATGAAACTCTCAAAACGCAATTCGAGAAATGGGAAAGATTCGAAGAAGTGCGGTAATAAACAAACTTTTTAATAATTATAAATGCATGTTTAAATATTATGAGCAATTATAAAATTTTGCGAGAAGCTTTAATATGTATGTAAATGTCTAGCCTATCGTCTACAGTCTATCGTCTATCTCTTTTTTGCCCTTTGCTTAGATGCCGACTTCCGGCAAAATAAAATCAAATAAATCAATTTAAAAGAGCATTTTAAAAATTCAAATTTAGTTGCCGCTAAAGGATTATACGGGGTTATGCAAAAACGGCTATATGAGAAATATAACTGGCGTATGTTATTGACGGATAAAGTTTAGTCGAGGTCCCGCTCCAAACCGCTTTGAATCATTCGACTCAGCTCGAGGAGCCCCTTCGAATGAGTTATTATTCATTCTTAACTCGTGATTAAGTTACGTAAGCCTATGCTTAAGTTAGGTTTTAATTTTTATTGATGAAAATACAGTTGGTAAAATCTGCGAACATGCCTCTAGTGAGATGTTGTACACTAACCTCCTTCAAATTACCTACAGCACGTTCATCCTCATTTGATTAATTACCTCCTCTGGCAGTAGGGGGAAACATTAATTATTCGGTTAATTACTCAAGGAAATAATGGAGTTATTACTTTTAAAATTATTCTTCACTTTGATTTATTAGCTAGACTAGACAGTATTTTGAAATATTAAAGCTTTTCGCGCAATTAACAAATTAAAACATGTGTATGCACTTTTGCTTGACTTTGAATCTAATGTTGTTTTCTGCAAACAATAAATCAAAACAATAACATCAACAATAACATCATTTATGCTAATCTAATATTTTGGTTAAAATAGTGAAAAATGCAAACTATATAAATGTTTCAAGAAATTTTGTGAAAATTGTTAAAAAAAGAAATTTTAAGGACAGAAAGGGTTGATATTTCATGACAGCTACTTCTACTAAGCAAAATGGGGTATAGCCCAAAACGGCGCGCAGCCATAAAGGCACAAAGCCATAACTTGCTGGAACATGCTGACCCATATTAATTTTAATAACAACTTTCTTATCTCGATAAGAGGAATCGTTTACTACTAAATTTGATAAGATTAGAAATCCTGAAGCAAGTTATGGCTTTGCGCCGTTATGGCCGAGCGCCGCCAAAACAGATCGTTTCAATATAGTTTCCCAATATATAGTTTCCCAATTTAGCTGTTTTCAATCGCCGAATCAGTCTCCGTTCCATTGATGATCGTCCTCATTGAAGCTATGCGATGGACTCCCCTATATATATTAAATTTTTAATTAGAGCTTTTGCTTAATTTTAAACTCAAGTTTATTGCTAGCACGGTATTTTTATTAGTAAAACTTTTTCTCGATAAAACAACTAAGCCTAATTTTTATTAGTAAAACTTGTTCTCGATAAAACAACTAAGCCTAATAATTGAACAATTAATTATGTTGTAAATCAGGTTCGATATAGCCATTTCTCCCCTTTAGCTAGTGCAGAAGTTTCGTCAGCTGGGAGCGAACCAGCATCTTTAGTTTGTTCTCTATTTTATTTTTGATCATTGTAAAATCAGTTAAAAAACTAACCTGGTAAAATCCGTAATTTGGATGTAAAATATTTACTGAGGGCGAGCTGAACTATTTCTCACAGAATCGTCGTCATAAGGTCGAGGTGGAGACTGTAGTATCTAAAAAAATAAAACGTACTTACGACAAAATTAATTTAGAATTAATTCATCTTCGCCGTAACTTTAAATTCTATTCTTTATAATTATTTGAATATAACAAATATACATATTTGTTATATTTATTATTTGTTATCCCTCTTTTATAAACTAAAAAACGTTTATAATTACCGGCCCAGGAGCTATTGGGTTAAGACCACCATTTCTAATATGATCACGCCTTGCGTCTAAAATAGAGCTCATTTCTTCCTGATGTAGTTGTGGATTGAGTACATTATTGTTTGCATTGTTGCGTCGCTAAGGAATATTTTATTTAAATAATCAGAATTAAGTCAAATATCTTGCTCGAAAAATTTAATTGTTTATCTTGTTAATACAAGCAACTTACACGTCTAGATGGATGCCTTTGCTGGACTCTTTGAAGCTTAATTTTAAATAATAAATTTAATTTTAAATAATAAATATTAAGTAAAATTAACACACATTTCCTAGTTGAACTCGATTCATCCTTTCTCCTCCATTTCCACCAGCACGTCGAAGTGGGTGCTCTAAATTTTCGTCAACTTGACCTCTAGGTGGTTCTATTACAACATTTTCATTATCTTCTTGGTTCCCCTGATTTAATTCTCCGTGGCCATCAGTTGTGTCTTCAGGATGAACAAGAGAAGGTGACCTTTCCTAAATTAACTTATCTTATTTTCACTAATTAAATCAAAGCGCGGCATCAAAGCGCGCTCTCTCAAAGCGCGGCTCAAACGGAACTGCCGTTCAAATAGAAACCCAGTTCATTTAAAAAATTAATTTGGGTAAAGTTGGAATTATAAAAAAAAGTTTTACAAGACGGTTTCCTTCCTCGGCATTTCGTGAAACTGAAAAACATCTTCGCAGCATTCCTTCAACATTGCCCGAGATGGAGCCAAGTAATAAAATAACTAAAATATTTTTTAACAATAACATTATATTTTTATATATTATGTATTTTTTAGTTGTTATCCTTAAACGATATTTATTATTTAATGTTTTGAAAATCTATTTTTGTTGAGGAAATTTGTTTTTTTGGTAAGAAATTTTGAGTAAAAAAACAATTTGGGTAAGAAAAATTGGTAAGACAAAAATTTAGAGGCGAATGAATGTCGCAAGAAGGGGGGAGAAGGGATATTTATTAGCTGTTGACGACTTAAAATTAACCACGAGAATGCTTTTCCGGCCACCTATGTTTAAAATCCACTGCAAAATTTTGCATTGATTTTTATTTATAAGAAATTGTAAATAAATTTTTATTAAATTTTGCAATTAATTAAGGAAATTAAATATAAAATAAAAGGTAAAATATTAAAAATATTTATTCGAATTGACCAAATTTGTGTTTGATTTAGAAGCAAATAGAAATAATGATAGGAATTGAATTATTTATCAAACATTTCAAATAAAAAAACATTGAGGCGTAAGGGCGAATACAGCGTGCCTATAAAGTCTTAGTATTCCGAAAGGATTGTTAGCTATACAAGCAAAAAATTCAGGTGGGCCTAAAAATGGTTAAATTAAAGAAATTTCTTTCTAGGAATCACGGCACTGTTGAGTACCTTCCACTCACTGGTCGACCTCTGACAGCAACAAATTCTGTGAACGTCAATAATGTACGCTATCGAATTCGTCGTTCTGCCGAACAGTCCATGCGCAAAATATGACAGTGGATTGAGAATTTCTAAAAGAAAAAAGCATCTTTTTTTTATTAAATTTTGATTAAATACACTCCTTTACAAACAGATTATTAAAAAAATTTATTGGACCTGTTTCAAGCTTTGGTGTCGAATAGATAATATTTGTTACAACCTGCCATTATGTTGATTTAAACAGACGTTCGACACGGTCTTGTAGTACCGCGGTATTACCCAGACAGAGATAGCCAAATACGGAGTTTGGAATTTTCTGGAATTTAGAATATTAGATGTCTAAACAATTCGTTGATTCACTAAAGTGCATCATCCATTTGCTTTTGGCGGCAGTCTTTAATAAATTGCAC